GCTATAACAAAATACCTTAGACACTTGTTAATTTGTAAACAGAAATTTATTACTCGCAGTTCTGGAGGCTGGGACGGCCAAGGCCAAAGTGCCAGTAGATGTGATGTTTGGTAAAGGATCTCTTTGTGCTTCAAAGATAGTGCCTTCTAGCTGTGTCTTCACATGGTTCCCTTGAGCCTCTTTTGTAAGGGCACTAATCCCATTCACAAGGGCTCCATTTTTTTTTTTTTTTTTTTTTTTTTTTTTTGAGAAGGAGTCTCGCTCGCTCTGTCGCCCAGGCTGGAGTGCAGTGGCCGGATCTCAGCTTACCGCAAGCTCCGCCTCCCCGGGTTCACACCATTCTCCCACCTCAGCATCCCGAGTAGCTGGGACTACAGGTGTCTGCCACCTCACCCGGCTAGTTTTTTGTATTTTTTAGTGGGGACAGGGTTTCACCGGGTTAGCCAGGATGGTCTCGATCTCCTTATCTCGTGATCCACCCGTCTCAGCCTCCCAAAGTGCTGGGATTACAGGCTTGAGCCACCGCACCACCCACCCTAGGGCACCATTTTTGAGACCTTATCTCCTAAAGCCCTCACCTCTTAATGAGGATTAGGTTTCAACACAATAATTTTGAGGCGACAGAAACATTCAGACCATAGCAGTCATCAATTACCTTGACAAATCCTAAGAATGTTTTAGAGTACTAATCTCACTTTAGGTTTCTGCCTTTCATGAAATTATCGTCTCCTGGCTTCTAAGATATCACACTTTTTTTTTTTTTTTTTTCCCTAGACCTTCCGGCCGCTTCGCGGGCTCTAATATTTACCCCTCTTTTATCTGCTTTGAAAACTGAAGCTTCAGCCTTCTCATGTTAGATACATACGAGATAATGTATTCCATGTTCCAAGGTGAATGATTCCTAAGCTAAATCTTCTAACCTAAATCTGAGTTCCCACTGCCTACTGGGCATTTCTATGTGGCTTTCCACATAGGTATCTCCAAGTCAACATGTTTCACCTTCACAAATTTCTCCCCTTAAACTCCTACCACAGTAAATTACAGGACTTTCTAAATCACAGAAGTTAAAAATATGTCATCCTATACTCTTCCATCTCTCTCCCAACATACAAATCAGTCTCTCGAGTCTTACAAATCCTATTTTTAATCTGTCAATTCCATCCCACTGTGACTGTTTAATCCCTGACTTCTTTTATAGATCACTGCCAGAATCTTTTTGCCAATTTCTCTGTATATAGAGTTAGTTTGAATCCATCTTCTACAACAATGCCAAAGGGTTCAATGAAAAGAGAAATTCTACTCACTCTTCTAACCAAATCAATCATTAGCTCTCCATTGCCTTCAGAAAAGAAATCCACTATTTAGCAGGTCACAAAAGTATCTTGATTTTGTACCACACCAATATCTCTAGCTCCTTATGATGAGCCATATTTATTCTATGCCATATCCATTAATACACAATTGCATGTTACATTCTCCCCAAGTCTGTAAATGCCTTTCCCTAAGTGTGCAATATCCAATTCAACTCCTAAATTTACCAAGCTGTTACTACTCTAGTAAATTTCCCTTACCATCTCCTACCACAAGGTTGGATTAGATACCTATCTCCTATGCTATCTCAGCACCTCGTATACCTCCTGTCAAGGTTTTATCACATTATATCAATATTGTTTGTTTACCATCCTTGAACTCTCGAAGAACAAATACTACTTTCAATTCTATATCCCAACGGCTTAGAACAGTAGCTGGTTCATAAAACTCTGAAGTTCATTAAAGGAATGCATAAACTCATTTTCTTTATTATACAATATTAATTAGAATCAGAGAGACATTTTATGTTTCTGAAAAGGGGGGAAAACTCTGCTTTTTATATGGTGTTCCATGTACTTTTGAGTGCCTTAGTTGTGAAAATTCATTAACTCTACTTTTCTCTGGTAAATGTTACTTAAGGAAATGATTTTAAAACCAAGTAAAAAAACATTAAAAGGCTAAGAGAGAATTAGGGAACAAAATTTGACTTGGCAATTATGCTATTTCCCTCCTTGGGTTTTTCTCATTAATATAATTGGGAAAGCACCCATTCTTAAAATACTATAGTACAAAATAATGATACATTTTCCTAATACAGAATATCAATTATCAATTACAATGATTTCCTTTTTAATTCTTGTATACTATTTATAAATAAGATTTTATTTGGATAAAAAATCAAAGATAAAATTTACTAAAATCTGTAAGTAGCAGCAGGGAAAATCTAATGACTGCTTACTGTGTATTTTGTTCAGTACTAATTATATGCATTAATTCACGTAATCCCACAAAAATCCTATGTGGTTGGTGCTATTATTATCTACTCCCCTCTCTCTTTAGGAGATGAGAAAACTGGAGATTAAAGAGGTGACGTAATCTGTCAGTTTCACTAGCAGAAGTCGTAAAGCTGTGACTAAAAGCTCTGATGTCAAAGTTGATGCTTTTAACCACAGTACTCTATGCCTTCAGCTGTCCTGTTCAGAAAGGACTCAAGAGAATTAATCCCTTGGAAAAAGTTTTCAAATATATATATACAAATATCTTAGAAATAAATCTGCAAGGTCTTAAAATACCAATTATATAAAAAGGAAATATTGATTGGTCCATTACCAAATTGTTATTTCCAAAAATAATAACAGTATGTTCTCTCACAGGAGTGTTTCACTGGTCAATCATGATCTACTATCTTAAAGGCTGATTCTATGTATTTTCAAGACTGATTTCCAAAGGACTAGTGTCTAGTGTGTGCCTAGTGAAATGAAAAACACACTCAGTGCCCACTTTATTAAAGAATAATATGAATAGTGGACATATGTGTAACCTACCACCACTTGAAGTGAAAATAATAAAAATACAAGAATTTTTTTAAAACACAGTGCCCTCATATCTTTGTATCTCTTATTATAAGGTAACATTCTGAAATCTGCAACTACAAATCACCAGTAAAAAATTACAGATGAGACTGAATTTGGCACAATTAACAAATTCTATCACATTCTTAAAAAATAAACATCTTTAGACTTTTGGTAAGACCATATAAAATAGCACAGCACTACTTTTCTTCCCTTAATTGATGTGCTTTCAACTAAAGAAATAACCAAAAAACAGCTTCCTCTTCACATATTATTCCTGTTCTCTAAATCACATGCCCTTAAAAGAAATAATCAAATGTCTAGAAAAGGATAGCATTTTTTTTCTGTACAGAGCCGAATAAATATTTTAGGCTTTGCAGGCCATATGTTCTCAGTCAAAACTACTCAACTCTGCCGTTGTAGTGCACAGGCAACCATAGACAATATATAAACAACTGAATATGCCTGTGTTTCAATAAAATTGCATTTATAAGAACAAATAAACTAGGTTTGACACACAGGCAGTAGCATGCTGAACCCTGGTTCAAAAAGCTCTTCCAGTCCGTACCTACCAGACTCATCAGAGAGCAAAAAGCACACTATTTCACTGTATTCTCCCTAAAGAAATTTCAGGAAATTATATGTCTAATTAATATCAAAACATGTAAAATGCTTCATAAAATATGACAAACAAATGCTTACAATCCCTATCACTTTTAAAGAAAGACTTCCCGCAAGGTTCTTTACAATGGCATAACTTTATATTGACCAAAATGTAATACAAAAACACAATGTAATGCTCCTTTTTCATTATTTAAATTTATTATTGTTTTTGAAAGAATTCTTTCAAACATAAGAAAAACCAAATTTACTTTAGGTTTTTAGAGGTGAATTTGAATATAACCATATTAAACTTGAATGGCTAAATTAATTTTCAATTACTATTTGAGAGCAAATTACTACTGTTGGTAGGCACTTCAGCAAATATAGAGATGCCTATTTTCCACTCTGAAAATAATACTTGATACAAGAGAAGGTAAAGGGGGAAAATACTGATGTAAGAAGTGATCTGCAAATGCCTGAGGTAGATTAGAGTCAAGGGAAAAGAAAAGTATAAAAATGCATTGCTACATCCTGCTATTTAGCTGTTTTACAGATGACTGGGTGTATGGATAGAGGAGAAGTAGTAGGTATAAATAGGTCTCAGTTTACAAGCAAATTCACTAAAAAGAGGAATCTATAATTGTCATAACTACGTAAAATTCACAGCTGTTCTCTTCAAAGACAGATAGGAAAATTTCCATTTAACTTCCATTTCAAATTTTCTTATTTCAAAAGAAATTAAAAACCTTCTGAACAAATGCATACCTTCAGCCCACAGGGTAGTGTTTAATAATAAATATCATCACAATAGTGTAGTATTATGCTTAATGAATGTAGATGTTAAGGCACCTGAAAATAAAATATTTCCAAAAGTAATTTTCTCACTTACAATAAAGCTCAAAAGCTTTGCTTTTCTCCATTCTACAGGTTACAAGAAACGATAACAAATAAATAAACCTAAAGAGGTTCTTTAAACACAACATCAGATATTTTGAAGAATGAAGTGTTAAGAATAACAGGTAATAAGAGTATTAGATATGCTCAGAATTTTTTAGCTTTTTTTAAATCACTATTTTAAGGGAAATTTCTCATAGACAAGCAAGTGGTTTTTTACAGATAATATAAAAAGGTATATTTAATAATCTCATACAATTATAAAAAGGCACATTTAATAATCTCTCAACATACTTAGGAAATGTCCTTGGTTTAAAATTAAAATTATTTTATGACATTTTGCAAAATGTCAAACTGTGTATTTGATATATGTTGAGAACTATACTTATTCACGATGCACAAGCATATTATAACTTTGTGCTGCAACATGTCATTTAGAAACTTTCTGAATATGGATAAAGTCCAAATTTAACTAAACTCTTCTGTTAGAGTAAGTGAAACCACCTGAATTTCCGGTTTTCTATTAAAAGAAAAAACCAAGATTTTACTTCAAGTTCACCTATAAGCAAAATTTCCTCAATTACATATATGAATATAAATAATACTTTAAAAATTACTTACAGTAAATATCCGTCTGCCAGTTCGATCAAAAGTTACACAGTACACAGATGACAAGTGTCCAAGAATTCGTTTATGCATTTTCATGTGCTGATATACTGCAGTTGGAACAAGTCGCTCAAGTCTGTATTTCCCATTCAGCTTCCTTGAAAACAGAGTATCCGCTACCAAGAAAAAGAAGGAAAATAAATGTAATCTGGAAATTAATTTTCTTAAATTATCACCTTTTAAGAATTCATATATTCCAATTTGTCATGTGCTGGTAAAAATAAAGATGCTTTCTGATATACATGGCTTCTAGTTAAAAGTCTTTAAAGTACTGAATAAAAACATTGTTTCACCTAAAATAAGTCAGGCACTATCATTCTCACTTTGTAAGTAGGCAAATGGAGTTAAATGACCCGTCCAAAAATCACAAAGTAAGGCATGAAGCTAGGATTAAAGCTCAGATTTCTTTACTCTCTGGCTAGTGCTCTTCAAAGGCACTTAAAACTGGAACCCGGTGTACTTTTCGTTAACCAGTAACACTTGAACACTCTAAATCTGACAGGCAGAATGATATTTAAAAATATCTTTGTAACAAGTGAAGACAAAGGAATACATCATTTGCATTAAAAAATAATAATTAAACCTGGAATCTTGCCAAACACCTGTATAATGATTCCTTATTTAGCATCCATTAGCTTTCCCTTTCAACTCATTCATTCTAATCATCATTCAAGATTTCACTGAAGTTTATCTTCTGTCCCAAAGCTTGATACATTGACTCCAGCCGAAAATGTCCTCTTCCATCTAAATTACTACTATACTTATTTTCTATACTGGTAACTTATGGACAAAGAAGGTGCTCAATAAATATATGTTGACTGATCTGCAGGCACATTATTAACCTACAGATGATCTTCTAATACAGGCTTTTTTTTTTTTCTAACAGTGACTGCCATCTACATTGGGTAATTAGCACTAGGTTTCTCACTTGAATTTAGCCTTAAAGAAAACTAAATATATATACAAACTACTACTTAACCAAGGTATAGAGCCCAGTAATTATGCCCTAAAGTTGGTAAAACATAAATATGTTGGTTGTATTATAAAGAATCTCAGTATTGCTTATATTATTCACGTCCAATAAATGTTTGGCTCATACTATATTTCTAGCCACTGTGCACCCCACTGCCCCCACCCCAAACCCCTAAAGAATCTTTGGGCCTGGTAGGAGATATACAGCCTTTACAGGTTCCTAAGCAATAATATTTCAAAGAATAATTACACTATGCTTGTATGTTCTTTTATCACAGCAATAATTTTATATTCTGATACAGTATTTCTCTTGCTGTTAGCATGTAAGTTCTATGCAACAATCTACCACAACACTTGGGAATTTCTAAGACAAGGTAGGACAGTCGTGAATTAGCATATTTAGGCTTAAGTTGGTTATATAACAATTTAGCAGACACTCAGTAAGTTTCAATCACAGCCTTGCCCCCTGATACAATTTTATTCATGCCCATGAATGGCCTGGTAAAAGACATCCTCCAATGCTTTGTCTCCAAATGTATTTAATGCAAGAATCACACAAAAACGACAGACATCAATTTTCCTGCCAAATAAGAACTAAAATCATCTTATCCAAACACCAAGGATCACTCACATCTCAGATTCACCTGTCCGTTGTAAGAAAATAAGTGATGACATGCCACATAAACATTGACAGTATTACCAAGATGTACTTTAACTCTCACCAAATCAAAATGTCGAATTTTAGGATACTAACAGTGTTCAGGTGTGAAAATATGACTGTTGGAAATAATACATCAAGACACGTTTCTTAATGATGATTGAGCATTAGTATATAGGTCAGAATTTTTAAGATAAATTTGTTATAAAGACCATCTAAAAATCAGAGATGATGAAGTATTTTATAAGCAAAAACTACTTCTCTTAAAAGAAAATGTTACTGCTTCTTAAACACAGGTTTTACTGAATCCTTGACCTAGACTGGGATTAAATCCATTTTCATTTTGGAAGCCAACTGAAAAAGAAAAAAATAAGAATAACCTTTTCAAAGTTACTTTACAGTCAAATTTTTAAGCAACATTTTCCAGAATTAGGTGAAATATATTTATAGCTAACACTATATTCCACAGTATCATTTGTAATGCTTAGCTACCAATTAACTATTGGCTATCTATACTATGACTATATTCTGAAAGAAAAGGTACTTAGCAGAGTCCTGGCTCTCAAACATTTACAAACTTGTGTAACAGCACTAAAAGATGTGACATACAGAAAGAACATATGTAGATTCCCAGGTAATAAGGTGGTGGTTCAAACTTTCTAACCATAGGATTTAGAGGAGAAAATGTAAGTATAGTTCAGTAGTTGCACAACTGAATGAATTTGGGGAAGGCGTGACCATATCAAATAGGTAGATAATTTTTATAAAGATAGGAGGATGAGCTAGGACTCACATTCGATGAACTCACATTTTCTTTTATAATATCATTTGGAAAATGTCTCTCTCTCCTATCAGATCTTAAGTACCTTAAAGACAAAAACTCTCTTATGTTTCTCAAACCTGAGTATAGCGCCTTTTAAATTTAAAAAGTATATAAATAAATCTTCCTTAATAATAAGATATACAAGATGGTTCAATTTAATTTATAGTTTTATGGCAGAATGGCAAATGGTAATTATTCACTTTCTAAAGAAATTAGTAAGAGACCAACTAAATTTTTGAGTAAAAAGGAAATGACTCTTCAATTATTGGAAGTCCTTAAATTTTATTAAACTAGAACATCAATTTTTAAAATGAGCATGGTTAAACAGATAAGGGGACACAAAGGGATAAATTCTTTATAGGACATTATAATTCAACCTAAAATCAAGAAGCATATATGACTTTCATTTTAAAGTACATTTATTTTTGTACATATAGTGATAGAAATTACTCTTAAATAAAGCTTACCGAAGCAAATCTCTACTCTTTTTTCACTTGGCAAATTCTTTTTTATCCTCTAGGATCAGTTCAAATGCAACCTCTTCTAGGAAGATTTCAAAAGCATCCTAACTGGTTACCCTACAACACTGCTCCTCTGTTCAAAACTGCAATGCTCTTCATTTCATTCAGAATAAACACCAACTTCCTGATACATCAGCCTAAGACAGCCCTGCAGAAACTTGTCTCCTATTATCTCTGACCTTACCTACTACTTCTCGCCTTGACCTGCTTCAGCCACCCCAATCTCCTGTTCTTCCAACACACCAGACATGCTCCAAACTTAGGTTTGCACTGGCTGTTCCCTCTTCATGCAGTCTTTCTCCACATATGGCTAATTCCCTTATCCCTTTTCAAGTCTTTTCTCAGATGTCTGCTACCTTCTGAATAAAGCCTAACCTAACCAGACCACTGAAAATAGCAATAGAGCCCCTGCCATCACCCATAACTCCTGATCCCCTTTTATTCAGCTTTATATTTACTCTTCATCTATCACTTATTACCAGACATATTTAATTATTTACTATATTCATTGCTTATTTCCTGCTTCCTCCTACTACAACATAATAAACTTCGCATGGGCAGGATTTTATTTTGTTATCTGATTAGTCTAAGAGCTGACAATGATGGCTAGCAATTAGTAGATGACTGACACAGGTTGGTGAATTAACAAATAAATTACATATTAATAAAAATAATTAGTTTGGTGGGTACAGTGACCCACACCTGTAATCCCAGCACTTTGGGAGGCTGAGGTGGGCAGATTACTGGAGGTCAGGAGTTCCAGATCAGCCTGGCTAACATGGTGAAACCTCATCTCTACTAAAAATACAAAAATTAGCTGCCAAGGTGGTAGGCGCCTGTAATCCTAGCTACATGGGAGGCTGAGGCAGCAGAACAGCTTGAACCCGGGAGACAGAGGTTACTGTGAGGTGAGATCATGCTACTGCACTCCAGCCTGGGCAACAGAGCAAGACTCTGTCTCAAAACAACAAAAATAACAACAACAAATTAGGTTTAAGAATTTAAAAAAAAAAAAAAAAGGAAGATTTAGCTCACAGATTTAAAGGATTTGAAATATCTCTAAATAGTGCTTCATTTTAACTGCCTGCTAAATGAATTTAATTGGGAAATAAGGGGGGAATGTATTCACTTAATTTTCTGAATATAGAGCATAGATGAAATAAAAATTCCAGAAATCACTGTTATCCATTTGAATGAAGTCTGAAGTTAAAAAGGAGCAAATACTGAAAAGTGTCATTTACAGCAAATCATTCAGAACAGTCTTTGAAATAAAGTATAGGTGCTCAAGTCTACAAAACTAATTAGCAGAGATCAACAAAAGGCCCACTACTTCTTGAACATCAGCTGTAACTACGTGCATATTCAGCCCTTGGGTTCTCATCCATTACTTCTTTAGGTGCTAGGATAACAAGTCAAATTCCCCCACAAGTCATTTCTTACTTCGCACCTATTTTTCAAGAATTGATTTACTTATCCAATCATAATACAAATGCATATTCAATTTAAGAACATAAATGAGAGAAGAAAAACCATAATTCTATTGCCTATAGCAATCAATTTTAAAATTTTGCAAAGGTTTATCTCATAAACAGCATTTTAACAGCTATGTTGTATTCCTTAACGAAATAAGAGGTTTTAAGTCTGACAGACCTGTGTTCAAATTTGTCACTATGGAGACTTTAAGAGCAAGTTACTCTTTCTAAATTTTAATTTCTCCAGTTACATTATTAGACAAACATTTCCCTATACCACAATATACTTGGCTTTCATATTACGCTGTTCTTTGACATCCCACAATTTCACAAATTTTACATAGTCAATTCTATTAATATCTTCTACTGCTTTAATATGAAGTCCTCCTACTCAGCCCAACAGAACAATAAACATCTACTTACTTTTCTTCTAGTTTTTTGTGGTTTAGATTTCTCACTTAACTCTTTAATCCATCTACAATTATAATACTCATTATGAGGTCTCTAAAGATTATGTTTTTCTTCCTCAAGTAACTGACCATTTGTTCCAGTCTTTCCATTTACTAAATAATTATTTTCTATTAAATTCTGATTACATTATCATATATACGGTTATATATATATATCTTTTTTTCTGTGCTGGGCCACTGACATAACTGACAGTCTATAT